GTCCTGGGCACCCCACATTCTCCTGGAAGTCAGAAAGCATCAAGGCACACACTCCAGTGGGCGTGGGACCCTGCAAACGTGAAGTCGGGAGCCAGGCAGTGAAGCCAGCCTCCTCCCCAGCTTTACCGGGTGGCCCAGCCTCTGGCACACGCGTGCCACGTGGGTTCAGAGTGAGGTCCTTTCCCTAAAACACGTGATAGCTGCTCCGACAAATGTCCGAGGCCAAGAAAAAGGAAAAGGACACGGGGAGACAAGCCGAGGACAGAGAGGACTAGGGCCAGCGGTGAGGAGAGGCGACTCTGGGCTCCCGCTTGGTTGACTTAGTTAGTGCGGAGCTACTTCCAGAGGAACCCCGGAATGGTAGCGAGGAATGTGAGAAAGGGCCCCCAGGATGGTCCAGAACAGCCTTCTCACTGCCCAGAGGGGAACCTCAGGCCGAGCAAGGCGAAGGGACTGTCTCAGCTGTCATGTCTCCTGCTCTGTTCGCTCCCCAGCTCAGGCTCTGCTTCCTCCACACTACTCTGCTACGTACCTGTTAAGAATTTCTTGACTGGCTCCCGGGATGACAGGCAGGGCCGCTGGTTCCTAAGGGACAACGGTGGCACAGTCGGGGCATCTCTGGAGTATCTACCCCACAAGCGGTGTTCACCTGCCTACACAGCAGCATCATGCGCCGGTGGGGGTGGGGGGTGGGGGGAGATCTTTCCAAAGGATGGCCAGCTGTCCCTGGACAATCTAATTCAACTGGTCCGCAGTAGGACCCCTGCACCAGTAGGCTCCTCTCCATATGATTCTAGCGGGCAGCTAGGCTGAGAACCACTGGCCTACAGAAAAGCCGGTGGCTAAAACTCAGAGTTCCCAGGCCGGATCCCCCTGTCTGACAAGCACAGCAATAAGACTGTGCCTCAGTGGGCCCATCTATGAAATTGACCCCTCACCCACAAACCATCAGTCATCCAATACAAGGCCTTGTGACTCAAAGTGTCAGGTCCCTGGGCCCACAGTGCCCACATCATCTGGGAGCTCGTCAGACCTGAGAATCTCAGGATGCACTCAGAACTACGGAACCAGAAACTGCATTTAAATGAAATACCATGCGATTCAAAAGCACATTCAAGTTTGAGAAGCACCGATCTGATGAGAAACACTGATCTAACGCTTGACGCGTAACAGACATTTAATAAGTGGAATTTTATTTATAAGAACAGTAAAAAAAGGACCCCACATTTAAGGCAAAACAACTTAGGGGTGCCTGGGTGGCTCAGTTGGTTAGGCGACTGCCTTCAGCTCAGGTCATGATCCTGGAGTCCCGGGATCAAGTCCCGCATCGGGCTCCCTGCTCGGCGGGGGGTCTGCTTCTCCCTCTGACCCTCTTCCCTCTCGTGCTCTCTGTCTCTCATTCGCTCTCTCTCAAATAAATAAATAAAATCTTTAAAAAAAAAAAAGGCAAAACAACTTGGTTTTGATGTAAAAATCGAAGACCATTTTTGAGCTGTGGGATTGGCGATGGGTCCACTGAAACCCTCGGGGCTCTGGTGTTGTCCCGGCTTATGAGGGCAGTGTTTCTGGGTTCCTGGAGAGGACAATGCTGAGTCTTTGGCTGGCAAGGGTTCAAGGCCCTTTGACCTCCCTTTGGCCCCACTACCGCCCCGCAGTTTCCGCACCCCAGCTTGGCAGGCAGCTCGCATGCCTCTGCCAGAGTGTCCCCTACAGCAGAGCCTGCCCCTCTCCCCCTATGCTGCCAGGTCCCCCTGCCGAAACCCGGGCAGCAAAAGCAGTCGGCCAAGGAGAGCACCGTCCAAAGCCAGCGCTGGGAGCTGTGTTCACACCCTGGCATCGTTGCAGCCGGCATCGCTAAGCCGGGCCTCTGACGTGGCGACAGCAGCCCAGCTGTGACCGGCTGGAGAGCCAGAGGGAGCGGGCCTCGAGAGGACAGAGCTGAGTATGAGCTGCACAGAGAGAAAGGGAAGGGAAGACCTCTGGGGGCCGGGGACTTTCTGCCAGGAGAGGGACACAAATCAGGTTTGCTAGAAAATGAAGGCAAGGGCGCCTGGGTGGCTCAGATGGTTAAACGTCTGCCTTCAGCTCAGGTCATGATCCCGGGGTCCTGGGATCGAGCCCCACATCGGGTTCCCGGCTCAGCGGGGAGCCTGCTTCTCCCTCTGACCCTCTCCCCTCTCATGCTGTTTCTCCCTCGCTTGCTCTCTAAAAATTAATTAAAATCTTAAAAAAAAAAAAAAAAGAAAATGAAGGCAAGTCAAAAAGGCACCCCTGTGGGCGTGAAGAAGGAAAGTGGGGCTTGATGAGCCATGTCCACTTCCTGCTTTTCTTGTACCTTGTGAGTCTGGGGTGGTCAATGGCCACGAATCATGCTGCTCGGAAAGCTGACTTCAATCTGCCACCTCCTCAGTGCCAGGGAGAGACAGCAGGGCCCGAGGGGGCCCGAGCAGACCCACGGGGTTGGCTTCCTCTGAGCCTTGTAATCGGGGAGTTGGTCTGTCAGGAGCTTAGAGGCAGCCCCACGGCAGCATATCCAGCCTGCCCAAAGGGCTTGAAAGTGAGTGTCCAGCTCAAGCCCTTCAAGGGGCTCTCTCCTTAGCTTACACAAAAGCTGGGGCTGCAGGCGCTGGGGAGGTGGTGAGTGGGGGCCTACGGGGGACATTCAGATTTCTCAGTACCTGACCCATAAATACCCTACCCAGGCAAATGGCAGATGTGGGTCTGACAGCCCTCCTCTGCCCCAGAGACGAGGTGGCATCAGTCGGGCTGGGTCTCCTGGGCTGGCTCCCAAAGCATATGTCATACCCGTCATTGAGCCATCCTATGGGGTGGTGGGGTTCTGAGGACTAGGGGCATCCAGGACTGTTTCCGGCAGTGGCAGGGCCCAGGGAAAGTGAGGGTAGACGAGGCTCCTGTGGGGTACCTCCTCAAGGCCCCTGACTCATCTCCAGCAGGGTCAACCTGTAAGGTCCACGGAGGAGGGTCAAGCAGCCAAGCCAAGCCCTTCCCAGTGGGAGCAGCAGAGACCCAGCACCAGCTGCTGACTGCTGAATCAGGTCGAGAAGCCCTGTTTCCCGGCTCTCGATTTAGTGCTCTTGCCCTGCGCTAGCGTTTGCCAAACTATGTCTCTTGGCACACTACTTCCACAAGACGTTATTAGCCAGGGGATGCAAAGAGGACTCGTTGAGTTCGGCGGGGCCAAACATGTTCCCTTCCTGCTGTGCTAAGCCAGTCCACTTTGTGGCTGATGGAGAGGCGGGTGTGCCACGGAGCCCCTTCTGTGGCTGAGCATGTCCCAGGATGGATGCCCTGCCGGACACTGTGGGCAAGGCTGCTCTGACCACCAGTCGTTGGAAGAAATGCCTGACCCGGGCAGGATCCTGGGCGGACCCTGCGGCCAGCTGCCCTTCCCCGCCGGGTGCGTCTTGTCCCCACACCCTGGATGTCTGTCCGCCGCTGGCTCTGGCTAGGTTACTTGGAGCTAGCAGCCATTGTCTGCAAGTCTGGCCCTATCCTGGCCCTTCTCTGAAAAAGACCAAAAACCAAAGCCAGAGGCCAATCGGTCCCTGACTCCCCCGTGCATGGTAGTACGTGGCAGACAGGCTGCTCCCCGCCGCCACCCTCCACACTCTCCCAGGACATTCCGGCCCGTGAGGAACATGCCCGATGTGCAAATCCCTCAGGTAATGCGGGAATTCGTCACCAGGGGAGCGTGGGCGATCCAGGAATGGGAACCTGATCGGGGCCTGGGGCTGGAAAGAAGCCGCCCGGGCTGGCCAGCGAGGGCTCAGGTTGCAGTGAGCAGACTCCCCAGGAAGAGGGGAGGACAGCACGGATGGAGCCCTGTGGGCAGCACATACAGGGGGCTCCCTCCTCCCTGTTTTGGGGGGAAGAGACGGCAGACTTTGAACCAGCTGGTTAAGACCGGCGTGACCACATGCCTTGGTTTATGCCTGGTGTCCGGGTATAATTATGGATAGAGCCCCTGGGCCTCTCAGAAGTGCTGGGGTTTGGATAACCTCTCTTGTGCTCCCCCTTGTTCAGACAGACCTGCAGGGGTTCTCCTCCCGTTCTGGAACTCTGCGTTCAGAATGTCCAGGCTCCTGTCTTACCTCACCTGGACTGGAAACTCAGCTCACATCTCAAGGGGTCTAAGGTACAAAGTCAGAATAGAGACGACTTTTCCACAGCGAAGGGTCCCCAGGCGTGGTGGCCCATGCTGTCCCACCTGCTACCTCTCCCTGACGCCGCCAGTCCCCCTGCTGCCGCAGCCATGACAGAAGAGCAGGTGCTGGCCTCCAGCTCACAAGATGGAACAGTCTTAGTCTATGCGCCCACGCCCGTGCCCACTACCCTCTGACACTGATAAAACCAGCACTGAGCGCTGGCACCCACGGAGGAAGAGATGAAAAGGATCGAGATTACACTCTCAGGAGGGATTTTGAGTGGGAAGGCACCGAGGAACAAGACGGTCTTGGATCTCCATGCTTCCCCTCTGCCTTAAAGGTGGTCTCAGGAAGCCCAGCGTATGGGCAGCCAGACCAAACCGAAGCACCGGCTACACCACCTCCAGGGGCTGGGGGCGGGGGGTGGTCCGGGGCAGGAGGAAGAGGAGGAGGAAAAGAGAAGTCCACACCAAGTTCGAGTCCGCTTGGACGCAGAGAGGTCAAAGCACAGAGACGGGTTAAGACCGAGCGTCAGCGCTCTTATCATGGAAGTAGAAAGAGGGAAAGAAAGGCTGATTCAACATGAAGCACTTATGCAAGTATATTGGTCCGTTGTAACCATGGAGACTCACACAAACACACGCAAATCCGGACACACATCCCTCGGCCCTCGGGTGCCTTTTTATTTTCTGTAATTAATCGGGCAAGGGTGGAACTTGGGAAAAGTTCAACAGTGGTCAGAATCAGCAGCCTTCTCTCTAGTAATAACCCAGGGGCGGGCGTGGCGCGGTGGGGACGGGGGCGGGGGGCCCGCAGCTGCCAGTGTCCGCTTACCTGAAGCATGTTGAGAAGCAGGCTCCGGAACTTGGTCCCCTCCACCATGAAGAGTGCCATCTTGTCGCAGAGCTTGGCGGCCGTGAAGGCAAAGCTGCGGTCAGATACGGCCTTCTGGTAGATGGTCCGGACGATCTCTCCCAGCATCTCCTCGGAGTTGGTCGAGTTCTGGGCCTCCTCCATGAAGGTGGTGAGCTTGGCATCCACGTCGCTGCTGTTGTTCCGCATGCTGTTCAGGATCTCAATCAACTTGTCCATCTTATTCTGCTGAGGGTTGGTGGTCTCCACTGCCACTTCGTCCTGGGGGTGTGGGAGACAAACCGAGTCGCGCCTGAGTGGAGCCGAGGATAATGCTGGGGGTGACCAGGGGAGGGAGGGCTGCCGCCCCCACAAAGGATTCAGCCCTACCTTCTTGAACCTGAGGTCTGGTCCCTCTGGGAATGCTGACCTCCACCAAGGACCCTTGGGCCCCAGGGTCCTCTGCTGACCTTTTTCTTGGCTCCTGTGACATCTGGGGCTGAACCTTTTTGCAAGGCTCTAACTCTTACCCAGGATTCCCATATATATTGGCTGTGTCTATCTACTTGCCTATAAAATGTCTCAAGCTGAAAATGACTTAATGGGGCTTGTAAAAGATGAAATTAGATAACAAACAAAATATTTTTTTGCAGGAAGGAGGGAGGTATCCAAAATGCCTACCACCTTGGTTAAAGACGCCCATGGAATGGCTACCTTGTCTACCAGACTCTTGGTTCCTACAGCCCAAGGACGATTGTGTTCTCTGGGTAAATATGGCCCTGGTTTTGTGTCCTATGGAGGAGATTGTGCTGGCCTTCTTTAACAAATGCTATCTACCAAGGAATCCTGCCATGTGCCACTAAATCGATTGGCACTTCCTGGAAGGAAGTTTCAAACAACAAACTCAACACCCTTAAGAAGTTTCACTGCAGGTGGATCAGACCCGGGCTGGTGAAGGAAGAAAATGGCATCTGACAGTCTCAAAAGTATTTATTCAAAAGCAATGGATTGATGGCCAAGCATGTGATCACCCTAACTGCTGGGATGTAAGATCGGGGTGAAGGGCACGGTCAGGGACATAAAGCGAGGTCCCACGCTTGCCCTTCTGTTCTCAACAAGGAGAGCTCTAGGCTGGGAGGCACAGACCAGGGTCCTGGAGCCTGCTGTTTGCCTCTAGCTATTTGGCTATTGGCAGTGGTTTCACTCTCTGGGCCTCAGTTTACTCACCAGTAAGATAAGGAGGTTAGATGATGTATCATTTCTCCTGAGGCCTGTTACTGCCTATGCCAATGTCCTCCTGGTTTAGGAATCCAGGGGGCCTCATCTAAGGGGAATCCTTGAAACCCATGTATAGGCGCTATGAATCTACCCTTATTCTAGCCCCTTCTTGCCCACCCCACTGCCCAACTATCTGGGCCCCAGGGCAGAAGAGTGGTCTGTACATAAAATAACCAGCACCCACAGGGGTCTTTACACATGTCATGACATTTAATCTTCACGGTCTGTCTGCAAGGTGGGTACAGATGAGTCAACTGGGGCTCAGAGAGGCTAGGTGACTTGCCCAAGGTCACCTAGCCAGTCAAAGGCAGAGTGAGCATCAGCTGGTCTGCTGGACTCTCAAGCCCATGTTGTTTCCACTCTAGGACACTGCAGCTACATTTAGTAGAACTGGAGGGAATATAATGAATAACGCCCCCACCCTGGCCAGGCTGTAGGAATATGTCTTGGAAGGTCTCCAGGAGAAGACATACTGGTCACCAGCTGGGAACCACTTCCAGGCTCCCACCTTTGAGAAGCAGGGAAATGAACGGCGCTTTCCTCCTGGACCTCACAGCTGCTTGCCCCTTGGGGAGTGGTGGGGTAGGAACTCAGGGCCGCAAAGGATGCCAGGAACAGCATCTCAGCTTCAAGCACTGGCTTGGGAAGAGGTCTGACCTGCCTCGTCCTGCCTGAGTGTGGACCTGGACCTGGCTTCTTCTTTTTTTTTAAAGATTTTATTTATTTATTTGACAGAGAGAGAGCACAAGTAGGCAGGGTGGCAGATAGAGGGAGAGGGAGAAGCAGGCTCCCCATCGAGCAGGGAGCCCAATGCGGGGTTCCATCCCAGAACCCTGGGATCATGACCTGAGCTGAAGGCAGCTGCTTAACCAACTGAGCCACCCAGGCGCCCCCTGGACCTGGTTTCTTGGGCAAAAGGTGGAGGAGAGTAGGCGGTCGAGAGAGGCTGGGGAGAAGCCCACAGCTTCGAGCTCTGCAGAAGCCCCAGAGGGAGGACTCTGGGGAGGGCTGGGGGCAAATCGGCCTTTCTCAGGAACAGCTCCTTCGCAAGGTGACTTTTCCTGCATCTCTGGCAGGAAGGGGGCCTAGGGTGAGCACAGTAGACCTGAGGCTGCCAGTGACATAGCCCCAACCCTTCGCTAGAGGCTCAGGGATATGTCCTCCTGAATCAGCGAGCCAGCCTCTGGAAGCCAGGGCCAAGGGTAAAGTGAAGACAGAGAGGCTTGGGGCGGGAGGCAGGGGGCAACATTTAAGAAGGTCCTACTCTTAGGGCTGTGCCAATGCAGGGTTGGGACCTGTGGGATGCTGGCAGGGGGGAGGAAGGGAGGCCTCCTTAAATTTTGTCCCTTAGACCCTTCCCTGGGTCTGATGACCCAGACCCTGGCTGCTGATGAAGGAGGAGAATGGCCAAGCTGAGGCCTGCTCACACTCTGCCCAACTCACCTTTGCTCTCGACTCTGGTGGGGACCGCAGCTGGCCAGCACTTACCTGGGGGAGAAGCATCAGTCCTTCTCATCGTATCAGCTCTGAGTTCCCCCCAAATGCCCTTCAGCACTATCAGGGCAGTGTCTGACCACAGAGAAGGCTGGAGGGAAGAACCAGGCTTTCCCCATTCCCTTCCCACCCCCCTCGGCCATGTGCCCCTTCCTTCCCTTCCCTCTCAGGCTGGGGGCTGGTGCCCGGTGCCCCCGTGGGCCTCTTGGGGGACCAGAAGGCGAGGAGCTGAAACGTGCTGGAGGGGTTCATGCAGAGCTGGCCATGAGCCAGCCCTCTGGCGGCCAGGGGTCCCTAAGGCAGTGGCGGCCCCCTCAAACCCGTGCCCACCTACCAAAGTGCCTACCTCGCGCTGTCCTCCCTGGTGCAAGAGAACAACAAAAATTCAATTACCGGTACCTTTTCTTTCAGCCTTCGCCGCAGCCTGTCTTTGGAAGACTGGAGCAGGGTAATTTTGGGCCGCTCCCCGATGCGCTCGGGAATAATACTGTCTTTACGCTTTGTCTCAGCCTCTGGACCCCCCGGCTGCTGTGGGGGCAGCCTCTCAGAAGCCACGGGGGCTGGGGCATCAGGGCTGCGGGGGGGCTCGAGGCCGCTGTGCCCCGTGTCCCCCAGGGCGTCCTCAAGTTTGGCGCTCTCCATGGTCACGGTCTCTTTGGCATTGCGGTGGGTGCCTGCCTCCCCCTTGTCGCCTGGGGGGTGCTTCATGTTGTTGTGCCAGCGCCGGTTCTGGCTGTAGCCGTGATGGGTGGGCCTCCCTGAGGGGTGCGGCACCGAGCCCCCTGGGTAGGATTTCTGGTGGTCCCTGTTGTGTTTGGCACTGCTCGGCTGGTGGTCACCGTGCTGTTGGGGCTTGTTTCCTCCTGGAGGTCTCTGCTGCCGTCTGCAAACCAAAGGGGCAAGACACAGAGGGTCACCGGGAGGGCTGCTCAGGGTCCCTGTGCCAAACACCAGGACAGCAATTCACTGAGCTGTTCATTCATTCATTCGGTCATTCATGCTTCCTGAACACCTCCTCTGGGCCAGGCTCCGTGACGGGGCCTGCGGACACTGCAGAGCAGGACACAGACAGGTCCCTGTATTCCCGAGGGTTTAGGTCGGTCCTTGAGTTCAGGTATTATTTTATTCCCTTATTAGAATACACATCAGCACGTGTGTGGGGAACCCAATTCAAAGGAGGCGCTGGAGGAGACAGTGAATCCTCCTGACGACCATAGCCACCCAGCGGGTCCCTTTGAAGCAACTGCTACCATTTTGGGAAGCTTCCAAACATAGTCCACGCACGTTCCCGCAAAGACAAATACACAGACCTGCGTCTCGGAACAACTATCCCGTTCATGGATTTTTACCATAACGGCTCTTGTAAAGTTATAGCATTTGTTAAACAACCTTTGTTTTTGTTTTTGTTTTTTTTGGTAGATTGACATTTCTATCCCCAAGCCCACTAACAAAATATGCAATGAGAAGTTGTTACGGGCTGAATTATGCGTCCCTCAGCCCCACGTTTCACATGTGGAAGCCCCAATCCCTACTACCTCAGAATGTGACTGTATTTGAAGAGAGGGCCCTTAACGAGGGGATTAAGTTCATCCGCTAGGCCATTAGGGTGGGCCCCAATCCAATCTGACTGGTATCCTTATGACAAGAGCAAATCTAGACACAGAGAGACACCAGGGATGCAGGCACACAGAAGAAAGACCGTGTGAGATGGCAAGACAGCCGTCTGCGAGGGGAGACGCCCCAGAAGAGGCTAATCCTGCAGACACCTTAACCTCGGACTTCCAGCCTCTAGAAGTCTCAGAAGCTCAATTTCTGTTGTTGAGCCACCCTGTCTTTGGTATTTTGTTATGGGAGTCCGAGCTAACTAATACGAGAGTGACATGTGACTCACCGATTTACTGGACACGCTATTTCTAAGGCAGAGAATATCACATGGAACAGACTTGAGGTGTGCACATGGGATGAACCCCAAACGTTTTGATTTGTGGACTGAAGGCAAGCGAGGGCATGGGAGGGGCATCCTGGGGACCCTCCGGTCTTGTCCACAAAGGCTGCTTCCATCTCTGGAAAACCTTTCGTGTCCAACCTCACAGTATTTTCCACAGCGTGACTTTATATGAAGTGCAGATGGAGAACAAGATGACCAAGAGCCCCTCAAAAGTTGCAAAGTTGGTGAAGGAAGTTTGCAGAAAGAAGACTTTACCTTCTAAAGAATGATGCTTACACCCTCATCTGTGACCCATCCCTCCGGTGGGTAGAACAGACCTTCATTGCATTGCATTGCATTTTATGAACAAAAAAGGTATTTATTGACTTTGAAACTATTACTTATATAAAGTCAGTTTCAGTGTTCACTTGATAATTTTGTATGTGTGAAAATTTGGAGGCATCTTAGGTTGAGGCTAAACATGTCACTTTCCCATTAAAATAAATGAAAACAATTTTTTTTTTCATTGAAAAGTTTTCCCTACTAGCAGGGTTTTCAAGGGGGACTTAAAGTTGTTAAGTGGGAGACAGGTGTGTAGTCTTTTGTTTCTACACAAATGGTAACTAAAAACATTGTATATTAGAAGTAGAAATTAGTATGTTTCTGGAGGGAAATTTGAAGATTTGTTACAAGAGCCTCTAGAACATGTAAACCATTGGACCTTGTAATTCCACTTGTGGCAGTTTATCCAAAGAAAATAATCAAAAGCCCTGCATAGGGATGTAGGTACAAGGATGTTCATCACGGCAGTGTGTAATAGTGAGAAACTGAATGTGGAACATTTAAGAACATGGTGTAAGACTTGACTCTGGTTGATGGAAGAAAGCACATGTTGTAGAATGTGTAGCATGGTGCTATTTTTTAAGGCAGATATTTATGTGCCTAGAAAAATCTGGAAGCAGACACCAAAATGCTAACAGTGGTTATCTCTGGGGGATGGGATGAGGATTCTTCTTTTCTTTTTTGTGTTTTCTAAATGAACATGAATGCCTTTTCCTTTTTCTCTTTTTTTTAGAGGGGGGAGGGGCAGAGGAAGAGGGAGCGAGAGAATCCCCAGCAGGCTCCAAGCCCAGCGCAGAGCCCCACATGGGGCTCCATCTCACAAGCCTGAGATTGAACCAGAGTCCGGTGTTTAACTGACCGAGCCATTCAGGTGCCCCAGGGTAGTTGCTCATTTAGTTAAAACAAACAAACAAACAAACAAACAAATAAACAAAAAACCCCAAACTGATGAACTCTTCCAGAGAGGCTGTACCATTTTACATTCCCACCACCAATACACAAGCTGTTTTCAGTAATCCCCCCTCGACCACATGGATTCTGAGAACACGCATGTTAGATATGATATTGTGGACTCCCAGGTCCCAGAAGCTCCTTCGCCTTTTTTTTTTTTTTAAAGATTTTATTTATTTATTTGAGAGAGAGAGAATGAGAGAGAGCACATGAGAGAAGGGAGGGTCAGAGGGAGAAGCAGACTCCCCGCCGAGCAGGAAGCCCGATGCGGGACTCGATCCAGGGATTCCAGGATCATGACCTGAACCGAAGGCAGTCGCTTAACCAACTGAGCCACCCAGGCGCCCCCTTTTTTTTTCTTCCCCAGCCTATTTTCTCTGTGCGGCTCAGACTGGGTCATTTCTATTCTATCTTCCAGTACACCGGATCTTTCCCTTATCCCTACATTCTGCTGTGGAGGCCATGCATTGAGTTTTTAATTTATGAAGTTTCATTTGGGTCTTTATCATGGCTTCTGTTTCTTTGCCAAGACCTAATTTTTCATTTGTTTCAAGTATGTTCCTAATTGTCCTTTGAAGCATTTTTATGCTGGCTGCTTGAAAATCTTTTGTTAGATAATTCTAACGTTTCTGTCATCTTGGTCTTGGCATCTAGTGTATTTTCTCATTCAGTTGAGATCTTTCTGGGTTTCAGTACGACTAGGAGATTTTCGGTTGAAACTTGGACATCTTGGGTATTATGTTATGTGAGTCTGGATTTTGTTAAGGTCAGAGTCCTAGAGCGGTTTTAGCGGGCTTCCTCTGACTTTGCTCCACTAGTGGAAAGGGCTGCTGGGCCTTGTTACTGCCAAGCGGGGAGTAGAGGTCAGGTTCCCTACTGGGCCTCTCTGACACCCCAAGGGAGGTCCTCTTTACTGCTGAGCAGGGGTGGGAGTTCTGGCTCCCCACACTGATGCCTCCCTGGCTAGGAGAAGGGTACACACTGTTATTCCCCATTGACACAGAGGGAGGGGTGCTCCATGCCCCACGGGGTGGGGACGAGTCCCAAGTCCTCACTCAGCCTTTCTGACACCACCCTGGTGGAGCATTTGGGAGCCTCCTCACAGCCCGGTGAGTGTCAACTCTTGGCTCTTTCCTCGGCCTTTGCCTGTGTGAGTCAGGGCGGAGCCTGTTTTTTTTTCTGGGGGTTTTTCTAGAGTTGAGTGTTACCAACCAAGAGTTTTCTGCCTTGCGAGGCTGCCCCTTTCCTGGTCCTCTGGCTAGAGAGGGCAGGTTTTTGTTGGGGCTTCTTGGTCTGCCTGTGCCTACTGGTGTTTCTGGGTTGCCGGCTTGTTTGGCTCTAAGTCTGGGATCTGTGAGGCCAGGAAGAAATCGAGCAAGTTACTACTCTATCATTCCTTGGGCACCATGGTCCCCAGCCGGTCTGCCTTCTCTCCAACCTTTCAGAGTCCTCTTACGTTTGTTTTTATATAGAATGTTCAGGGTTTCTAGTTGTCTGAATTTATTTTAATAATTTAAGAGTCATTATAGAAACATCTATGGAAGCCTGGTACATGGCATGGCATCTGGCTGCCCGGTGTTCCCTGGGCCCTTCTCATGAGGCCTGCGTGGTATTTTCCATCCTTGATGCCCAGGTTCAATCTCACTGGGTCTGAAGCACATCCCTGGTGCAAAGAACCGCACTGCCCTGATCCTCGGGTGGAAGAGGCAGCCCCTCCGTCTCACACCCCTCACCTCCGCCAGCATGCCTACAACTCTCAGTTTTATTCCCCAGCGGACTCATTCTAGAAACAGGGGTCAGCGAGGCACCAATGCTTTAGGTTCTGGAAGATGGTCAGTTTGCATCCACCGAGGGGCAGGGCTCATGGGCACAGGCCCCCAGGCAAGTGCTGGGCCCCGTCTGCAAAGTAAGTCATTGGCTCAGCTTCTTTCCAGGATCACCAACTGGCCTTCGGACTGCCCAGACCTAAACCCAGATGCCTGAGCCACAGGTCGGCTCGGAAGCCGGTGGCCCTCACCTGAGAGGCACAGACCAGCCTCCATCAGGAGAGCCGGGACCTGGGAACTGGAGGAATTCCATGGCCCTCCCACTCCTCAGGGTGCCACACGCCTGTGACATTTTGCGAATTCTCCCTGCTTTTATTTTTCAGTGACTTTCAAGTAATTTGCCCTCTCTCCTTCCACTCTCTTTGTTCTTGGAGTATGAGTAATTTTTAAGGCCAGAGAAGAACCTTGGAAATTCCCTGGCAGATAACGCTTGATTCTCACGACTTTTCCCATCCTTATTTAGAAAATTTGTGGTGAATGCAGCTATGGCCCAAGGAATGCCCCCAAACGATGGTTGACCAAGTCCTTCCCTGCATTTGTCTTGAAACTGTCTGGCTTCCCACTTGCCATATCAGGGATTTCCCTGTCTCTGCCCAACATCCTCCCTCCTTCCCCCACAAAACAAAACAAAACAAAACAAAACAAAACTTCTCTCCACCTGGAGGAGGAAGGAGGTAATTTTGACATGGCTGGTGGCCAAGGGCTCAGAAAGAAAGAAGCTAGGTCTTGCAGACATTCTGCTGTTCTTGCTGGAAATTTTGGGAGGCCTGGAACTCCAAGTCATCCTAGTTTGCAAGACCTTGGAGCGAGCCAGTTCTGTCCATCCAGCAATGACCA